GGTATTTTTCCTATCACACACTATGGAATTATAAGTAAACGTCAGAAGTTTTGATATCCGGAGTAATTGCCACTTAGTAAAAGTAAGGCCACATAGGAAACATAATGGTTTCTTTACCATACCATTTGATATTTCCTCCATATCTAACTCTTATACAATGCAATCTCTAACATAAGCAAACCCAAGAATACTTATTTTTCAATGAGCAGCTCTCTGAGAACAGTATATTAAAATGCAAATGGAAGCATAATTTGTCTTACTCTGGTTCTCGTGTAAACAGTCACAAAATCTAAGAAAAATAATATGATCCAACTTTGGTTGTTTGGTAACAATAGTGGATCATTGTTGTCTCAGGGAGCTTTTATGTGCAAAATACATTTTGATAATAAAGTGAATTCCTTTAAGCTATTAAATTCTGTGCCCATCTGGGGAAATATTTGGGGAGATAAATATAGCCAAAAAGATATTAAAAAGAAAAATAGCAAACATAGTTGATTTTTGACAGTCTTTTTTATATTCTGAAATCCTAGGTCCGTATCATAGTGATAATACTGAAAAAATTCTAATCACTTTGTCATTATTCCCAGCAGTGTCCTGGAGTTCCAATTCTAAGGGCAGGGCTTTCTGGAGGCATCTAACATGAAGATATAACTCAGAGAATTTTTCGAGAAATTGTTTCTTCACATGAAGTATACTTGATAATAACATTTTAATGTAATATTGACATTTCTGGTTTTTAACTCTGTGGAGCAGAATCTTGATGAAAAAGAAAATCACTTGTGACAGCTTCAGCCTGAGTGTCTAATATCATAGCAATTTAACCTGGTTTTATCCTATATCAGAGGTACTCTATCAAAAAAGAAGCAAAGTTTCCTTCATGTTTTACTTCATTTACGGAAGTGAATCATTTCTCACAACAGATAATGCCAAAATTGTCTTAAAGTTATTAATTATTAGAAAGAATATTGTGGAAAATATTGATAGCTTATTTTGGAGGTTTGTGGTAAATAGTTGAAATATTTTATAATTTTATTTATTCTAATATGTACAGTTTTATATATTTAAGTATTTTTATTGAGAATTTATTTGGACTGAACTGGTCTGAGTCAGTCAAGCAACTAAGAAGTTGAGCCAACCATCATATTCTCGTGACAGTTATGGCTAAATAGAAGACTATCTTTACTCTTGCCAATTGTAATATGGTCCACATATCGATAGCATCAGATTTATCTTGAATCAAGTGGGAAATGCAGATTCTCAGGACTACACCAGATCTACAGAATCAGCATCTGCATTTTGAATAAAATACACTGGTAATTGAAGTCCTATCTACACAATGTGATTTTGGCTATGGCTACACATTACAATCACTTAGAGTACTTTTAAAATGTTTTGATTCCCAGGCTTATACCCAGATCAATTAAATCAGACCCTGTAAGAATGGAACCCTTTCTTTCTTTCTTTCTTTTTTAATAGTACTAGGGATTGAACAACCTCTGTATTTTCTAAATGCTCACCAAGTTATTCTAATGAGCTACCAGGTTTGAGAACTATCGATTAAACAATGCCCAAATAATCAGCTAATTCAGTATATTCTGAAACAACAACAACAAAAAAAGTCAAACCAATTACTTAGCATTTGGTACCACTCTATAAATGATTGATTTTTTTTTAACTTTTAATAAGTTTGCTTTGCTACTGCGTGAACACAGCCTATTACGGCTCCAACTGCCCAGAAGTGTATTGTATTGTTAATCAAGAAGAGGAATGCTTTACTATCCCAATTAATTAAAAAAGGTTTTATGTTTGTTTCTCAACTACTTCCTTTTACCAACCCTATTCTCCAGCCTGACAGATCGAAATGATGAATTTTATACACTGTGCACATTTTAACCACTGCATCTATGGATTGTCCACTCACTTCTCCAAGCACTCAGTTCTCATTTTTCGCCTTGAGCATTCCCTTCTCACCCTAAGAAAAATGAATCCCTCCCCTAATTCCCATATGGCTCACGTCTCTTCTTTTATGGTCTTATGTAAGATCTACCATTTAGTGAAGTAAAATTACCTGTTGTTTAATTTCTCTATGTAATCAAGAATTAACAATCTATATCAAAATCTTAAATATGAATAGAGAAGAAAATCACAGCATAGTACATGTGACTATCATTGTTCCCATTATAGGTGAGAAAATTGAGTCTCAGGTAGGCCAGGTGACAAGTATGTAAGATTCAATAATTAAACTATTTTTCCTGTGACCATCTGTCTAAAAGTACAGAGAAATTTAGATGGTCTTTGGGTGTGTGGGTACATGAGCCTGTGTTTGTGTTTCAAACAGAATATAGTATTTAATTATAACTCTGGTGTTGATTAATGATGTGGAAACACAAAAACATACTGAGAGAAATTTCGTTCTCAAAATCTATGACCACTCTTGTCTTTGGAATGAACGCAGAGATTTTCTTATTTTTACTAACTTTGTGTCTTTGATGAAAAGCTATTAAAACTTCATGGGTGAGTCAGGAGGAGGTGGTTAGGGTGGTCAGATTATACTTCTTTCTTTTTTTAAAAATTTTTATTATTGGTTGTTCAAAACATTACATAGTTCTTGACATATCATATTTCACACATTTGATTCAAGTGGGTTATGAACTCCCATTTTTACCCCGTATACAGATTGAAGAATCACATCGGTTACACATCCACTTTTTTACATATTGCCATACTACTGTCTGATGTGTTTTGCTGCCTTTCCTATCCTCTACTATCCCCCCTCCCTTTCCCTCCCCTCCCATCTTCTCTCTCTACTCCATCTACTGTAATTCATTTCTCCCCCTTGTTTTTTTTTCCCTTTCCCCTCACTTCCTCTTATATGTAATTTTGTATAACAATGAGGGTCTCCTTCCATTTCCATGCAATTTCTCTTCTCTCTCCCTTTCCCTCCCACCTCTTCAAAATTGTTTTTTTGTTGTTATGAAAGTAACACAAGGACAACTTTTTCTTGAAAAAATTAGAACACTATACATTTGACAAAAATAACCAAAAATCTTTTTGTCATTCAATTCCAATATGCCCATCTCAGACTCCCTTTTCTCAGTAGCAGTCAATTATTTATATCTGTGAACATACTTTAAAATATTTTTCAGTGTGCTCAAGAACATATAAATAGTGTGCTATATAATTCTCAATGGTGGCAAAGTCACTTATTATGTGAAATGAAATACTCTTGGGAATTAAGAGTTTCATTTATATGTCCAAAAAAAAAAAAAAAAAAAAAACCGGGAAAGATATCTAAGTCAGAGGTTGACGGAGTTAAGATTCAAAATTATATCTCAACTCTGCAGAATAATGCCCTAAAGACAGAAAGATAAAAGTTTAGCCTGCATAAATATTAAGTCCTGCATAAAATATAGGCAACAAATGGAGAGTTCTGGTTTAATATTAATTTATATGAAAAAAAGACCTAGAGGTTTGGTTATCATAGACTCAAAATGTAATAAAAATTCTAGTTCTTTGAAAAGTCAGTAATTCTCATATCTAAAATAAAATTTCTTTAAAATATCAGGGATTACTCCAAACTAAATTATTTTTGAAGGAAAATACTAAATTGTGCAAGATATAGTGATCTCCTGGTCTTAAAGTGTAGGACTTAATATGTTCTTCTTAATTCTTTCTTTTTATATTAAAAAAAAAAACAACAAAAAGCAATGCCAGGTAAAAGAAAGCTCTTTTGTTTCCCTTCACTCATATCTTGCATCTTTATTTTAATATAAAACATTCATTACATATCATGAGATCTTTGCATGTCAGTTATTGTGAGTCATTGCAATAGTATTCATCCTCCATGTTGATGTCTTCTTGAATAAGGAACTTGCCTTGTGGAATGAATGTCACTCAATGTATTTTATCCTGATAATTGTCTTGTACCATGATTTATATTTTGGTGAAGAATATTCACACCCAACATTCTTTGCTGCAAAATCTGGGATGAAGAGCAGGAAAAATGAGGACATTCTCTGCATGAGACTTGTACTTCCCCAGGCTAAATCTCCACCCTGTACTGGAAGATGATTTTTTTCTTTGGAACTTGCCAGACATAGATTTTTATTTTTTTAAATTCTGAAACAAGAACATTTAGAAGTTCTTCGTCCTCTGATTACCTGAAAATCCCTCCATAGCCTTATGCTTTATGGATATTTTCTTTTTATGATTATATATGTATTTTATATGATTATATATATATATATATATATATATATATATATATATATACTGATTACACAGTGCACAAGGAACTACAGGTTCACAGAGATGAACTGATTTTTTCCTAATGAAAAATTAATATTATATCATAAAATATCATAAGTCTTGACCTCTACCCGGTTTTTCTAAAAATAAAGTAACCTTTCATATCAACATGGTGATTCAGAAAATGGCAGCTTGAATGAGAAGGAAGAAGCTGAATCAGTGGAACAAATGTGTTGATATGTTTTTAAGGACACCAAACCATGGTTTTATTTGAATTTATCTGTCTTTGCCCTGACGTCTACTGCAGCATATGAGAAGGAGATTCAAGGTCTTAACTCCATTACTGGTTTTATTCAACAGTGTCAGACCAATAATAGGTGTTTATCTACTAGTTTGTGCTGCTCCAGATAGAGTAGCTCATTGTAATTCTTCTCTCCAGTTTTTCTTCCACAAGGAAATATCTATATATCTTGGACCTGTCTAATTATCTACTGTGTGAAGAATAGAAAACTGTGAGACAATTCCTAGGCTCATTGTTTCTGGGCTTCAAAAAGCTCAATAAAGTTTCTACCTACATTTTCTTGTTTACATAGTAGAGCAAAGTGGATCAAACAGGTAAAGATTTGTGGCAACAGAGATGTTGCCTTTGTACAATATAACACATACTGTGTATCACAGAAATATTGTGCCACTTCTCCGAAGCTGACATTGGAATGACATTGTAATCCTGGCCATCTGTCTTCCTCCTCTAGATGTCGATGAATGTGCGGTGGTGAATGGAGGCTGCCAGCAGCGCTGTATTAACACTCTGGGCACCTTCCACTGTGAATGTGATACGGGATACAGACTCCATGCTGATGCACGCACCTGCATAAGTGAGTAAATATTAGAACCAGCTTGAAGCCATTTTCAATGAAAATCGACCTGCCCATGTGGGGACAGAAAGAAAAGGTTTTCCTATTGTGGAAATATCTATAGAAGCTGATAGTTCTCAAGCACAATTCTGTCCTGTAGAATAAAAAAAAATGCTATTAAAAGACTGAAAGAAAAGAAACATGGGGAAAGAAATATAGAAATTAACATTCAAAAGCAAAGCTTGAATCTCTAAATGTGGGAGTATTTCCATAGCATATAATTTCTGTTGTATTCAGAGAAGTATAATTTGTTGGTTATTGCTTATGTACAGCAAGTACAGCACAGAGCCACAATGAAGTGAGGATGCTGAGCCGTTGTAATTATTAGCTATAAGTTTCTCATTTCAACCGGGGCTTAGAACCGGATTCAAAATCAGAGTCATGATTAAAATTCAGTCCTCATAAATATTATAACAGATTATATGTCGAAGACCTTAGGGTTACTCAAGCACAATTAAAACTGCACACATTGAATCTACATTATAATATATTTATTTGCATCACACTGTTCCTAAATATAACTTTTGTGTGATGGGATTATTACTTTTTATCTTCTTTGTATGTTTCTAAATTTTTATGAATTTCTTAAAATGAGTGTATACTACTTCTATAAAGAGAAGAAATAGAATAAATTTTAATAACAGTCCTAGACTTACAATGTGTAAATGTTCCTTGTTGTTTTCACTGAAGTCATGTACATAAATGTATTTTTTAATTAAGTCATGATCCTAAGATGATGTAATGGTATATTACACTTTTAAATCCAGAGGCCCTTTAAAACTAGCCATCACTTTAAAAAGTAGCACTTAGTGTAACTGGCTTTATTTAGATAGAATGTGTTAACTAGTCCACCCACCCAAGATTATAGGCATCTTATAATTTATTCTACACAAAACTTGTAATAGAAGTCAGTCAGTTTCCCCTAGTTTCTTAACATTTTCTCCTTCTTTCTATATTTTATTATGTATTATATGAAGTAAGAGAAGACCAAGGTAAACAGGTGAAGACATCCTGGTCATAAATCTGATTTTGGTATGAGAAACAAGTTATGAAAGTATGTTAGCAAAAAAAAAATACTTCTCCTAAGTCAAGGTCAAGTAATTGTACTAATATCTAGGGAGCCCAATATCATAATGATTCTATCTACTGCAAACACAAGCTGTGGAACAGAGCACATGCACATTTATTTAATCAAAACACCCTCTTCTTTTGGCAGGATTAATAGTCTTAGCAATGAGATTCCTTTTCCCAGCCCCAATCCTAACCTTGTAAGTCTTCCACTGGTAGCATCCTTAAGCTGCCTCTATCAATTCTCTGAGTCACAAAATATTTAGCAGCAGCAGGATTATTGATACTTGCAGATGAGGTATTTATCAGTAAAAGCTAAGCTGGTGAATTTTTGTATCTGATATTCAAAATATTTTGCAAAGTAGTGATTTATATGAATCAATGATATCTGGTCTTTGTGATAAGGCAAAATAAACACTCTAGTTACCAATTAAATTGTGTTTACAAGAATAATTACTTCTCTAAACCCTGGAAGTTATTAGCTATTTCTGAGTAAAATCATTAAGCTCTCTTTATTCCTTACCATCACTGCCCTTGAATTTTCCAATTTTTGTTTTAATGACATCAGGTCAAAAGTTGAGTTGGATAAGGATGTTATGGTTTATCTTTATATTCCCATTTCTTAAAAGCCAATTCTTATTGTGTGTGTACATGGACACTATGATAATAGCTTATTTGCAACTCCATAAACTGATTTCTTTATGCAGAATTTCAACATAGTATGCAAATTAAATTGATTCAAGTATATATATATGATGAGTAAATTAAGCTAATGATAAGTAGGAAATTCATGAGTGTAATTATTTCAAAGACTTTAACTCCTTGGATTCCATTCCACAGGAAGTACTGGACTTAAAACCCAGCTCTTGACCTTCATGAAAAATTTTATACTATTGTCACATGCACACATAGAAGTATTTGTTTCAAAAGTCCTCTCAAGAGACACATCTGACACAGTTTATAATTACCTCAGTCTTGTTAAAAGGAGTTCAAGAAGAATTTCAGCACTTTGTATTCAAAGTTTAATAATATGACCTTGAGGGCAACTGTTTGTTTGTTTATTTATTTTAAAAGAAAGGCTTTACTATAGAGAACTAAGTGTTACATTAGTCTATTTTGGATTAGATTGTAGGAAGGTTCAGTTATTTTTTTAATACGGGAAAACTGAATTGTCTCACTTTTCCTTTGGGATATTTTAATCGACAGAAAACTGAGAACAATGGTTGATGTGTATTAGGAGATTATGTTAGAAATTTGTTATGACCAATGGTAGAGTCACAGAAGAGAAGATGGAGCTATGAAAATTTATGATTTTGGCCTTGTGGTCTCAGTTTCATATAACAAATTTATCTGCAAAGTTTTGGAATGCATGTAATTTTTTGGAGGGAAGGGCTTATAATTTCTCTAAGATTCTTAAGTCTGTGGTACCCCCAAATATCCCATAAATCCTTTTGTCTTTTTGAAGGCACTTCTTAAAAAGACATGTACATGGGAGAGTCTCATGACACTTACCTTATGACACTGACTTATGATACTGCCATGTGGACTGAGGCCAAGTTGTCAGTGACTACTTCTGCCTACATTCAATAAGATTTCAGGCCAAAGGCCTCCATTCCTGCCCTTGAATAGCATGGCACCTGGCTCACTATCATGGTCCTGAAAGGCAGCATCAGGAAAGCTAGTCGGAGGAGATGTCCCTCAGGTGAGGAGCATCACAGCAAGTGAAAACAATTGGCATTGGTTGGTGGCACAGCGCAAGCGCAGCATAGGGAAGCAGACAAGTGGAACCCCCGCCAGATTTTCAATGTTCTGCCTTAACACGGATGTTACCAAGATTAACAGTTGGAGATCAACAACTTAAAAAAGGAAAACTAGCCTGGGTGTAGTGGTGCATGCCTGTAACCCAAGCTACGCAAGAGGCTAAGGCAGAAGAGTTGAAAGTTTGAGGCCAGCCTAAGTAATTTAGCTAGACCCTGTCTTAAGTTAAAATAAAAAGGATTGGGGATATAGCTCAGTGGTAGAGTACTTGCCTAACCTGTGAAAGGCTTGAGTTCAATACCTAGTACTGCAATTAACAACAAACAAAAACTACATTTTAGCAATCTTTAGAAAGTCAGAGATGTTTATGTTCATATCATTTGCCCATTCAATCTCATCCATGTAGATTAGGGACAATGGTACAGTGGAATTCGAATTGGCAAGTGAATTCCAGAAAGTCATTGAGTCTCTCTACATCCCACTTTCCCTGTGTGTAAAATGTAGAAATCAGATAAAGTATTCTTAAAATTACTTCCAATCTGAAGTGTTGTAATTTTACAGAATTTTCAAAATCACTAAATCATTACATAGCATCTACTAAGTAAAGCTATTGGATTGTGCATAATAACTCTCTTATAGAGCTGTAATTAAATTTGAAAAAAAAAGTTTAAAGAACTAAGACTTTACAAAGATCAAGCATAGAAACAGAGTGAAGATTCCATGATCTAGTTTATTTTTAAAAAGTGAGAAGCTGACATTCCAATTTAATAAAAATCAGTGGGTAAGAAACGTTTTATTGAAAAAAAAATATTCAGTGGGTGGTGCTTTTGCACTGTTTTCCATATCATAGAAGCATATCTAGAAGGAATTCAAGGAATAATCCAGCCCCAACTCCTTTCTTAGAGATAAGAAGACTCAGAGCCAAAGAGATAAGGAACTTTCACTCTGAGAAAGAAAAACAGTTTCAGGAAAACCTAGCTAATACCACTCCTGATCCAATGCCTTCAAATAATATCTGATATATATTTTTAAAGATAGACCAGGAAAATCATAAAGACACTACCAGATGAAATTCTCACATTCTGTTATAGAAAATGGAGCTAAAACTTAAAACAATATATTTTCACAATAGCTATCAATAACAGAAACTAACCTTATGTCATCAACCTATAAACTTATACTTAATATTTCTCTCCTATATTTTGGTAATAGGCTCCAAAATACCCTGGCTGCTCTCTGTTCTCTTAAGTCACTCTACTTTAATGACTTACTTTACTCTTAAATTACAATATATCTCACACTCCACCACCACCGTCTCTATCAAATGGTCCATGTTAAATGTCATCTGTCCTGTTAAGCTTTCTCTGAATACTCCAGCTGAAGATATTCTTTTTTTTCTTTAAGAAACACCATGTCATTTGTGTTGCTTTCATGACTATATAGATATATAACAATCTTGTGAAAGATGACCAGCTCAAATCTTCATTCAGAATCATGTCCTCCCTCTGATGTATTTGCTGAAATTGGCCTTCTCAGAGGGGTGAAATTATGAAATGATTGAATATTTTAATGCTTGCCTAGTTCTCTTTCCTCTCTTTCACACCTTTGGCACATAGGTCTATTAACACACGTTTTCACAAATAAACAAATGGAATCACTTATGTATACATAGAGAAAATTTAGGTAGAGGAGATTTTAATTACTTTCAATCTCTAACACAAGAATTCTTCATTTCCAGTTGCTTGGAATGGTCTTTTTTTTTTTTCCAGTGGCCCCTTTTTATTCTTACTAAATGAGAAGAAAAAATGAAAGGTTACCCAGAACTAAAATTTAAAGATTTTTCTGTGTTGGTAAGTATATAACATGGTGAAGTCAGTGTTATACTTTAATTACAAGTAAGCAGATGTTGGGTGGCAAGAAGGTATAACTGAGAAGGTTGATTAAAATAATGATATTCTCAGTGAAACTTGGAGCTTGAATAAATTTCCTTATATCAGATTTTCATGAGTTTTATATTTTAAGATAATGCTAACTTTAAAAATATAAAGCTGAGAAAACCATTAGAAGTGCTGGTCTTCACACAATGGATTCTTTTGTTTTTGCACTCAATATTGTCATCAATGATGTCTGAGTTT